TACTTGAAATAAGCATACTTCATTAGATCAAAACTTAATCAATGACCCTAATTAAGTCTACTAATAAGGGTGTAAGAGTTTGGACCTTGAGAATCATGCAAATGGATCCAATAAGGGTTCATGTAGGCCTTCCCCTTTGGAATGAGACTTGGGTCACCACTTCAACACTTGGGCTTCTTTCTTGGTGGGTTTGAGCTTTCTTTGTTGAGCTTGGGCTTGGAATGGTTTGAGCTGAAATGTTTGGACTCTCTCCCTCCTTGGAACTTGCTTGGGTCGAATTTTCTCTATTGCATTCCACAATCCAAGTGTTTTAGGATTTGGAGTGAAATTCTTCAATTCAACTTAATTAGCAAGTGTTTTAGAACTTATAATTTCTTGTCCACTCATATTTATAAGTGTTTTAGGACTTGTACGTATCATTTATATTAGTTATTTGGTAGGTCTATATTAGTTATTTTAGGTCAATAATATGTATTATTACTCTATATATTTTACAGCCATAGTTGACATGATAATTGTAATTTATAGGTATAATGTTTGATGAAGCTCAAACAAAGGTTGATAATTGTGATTCTCACTTACCTTTTCTCAGGAATTGTACAACGGCTCAATGTCTTAACGCTTGCATGGATAAGTATAAGGTTTCACCCAAAATCTTTATCAATGCTGGATGTTATGATATGATCCTCTATTGATGTTTTAAAGGACCCATTAATAAAGAAAATTTAAGGGAGAATGACATTTTTCCACCCAAGGTTTGGTGAAACGACATTTCCCACCCTTCAAGTTTCAAAATTACACTTTTTCACCCTTTGTTAGGTTCTGTTATGTTTTCCGTTAATATTTTACTAAAAGGACGAAAATACCCTTAAATATTTGACTTTATAATTTTTTAATTAGCCAAAAAGTCAAATATTAAAAATTCAAAAAAGAAAAAATAGTTAATCCCACCTAACAGGTTAAGAATAATGCCATGAAATTGTTTAAAGTTAAATAATCTTAATATTTATTTATTTATAATTTCATCAATATCCCATCACTATTATTCAATAATCTACTAAATTTATAATATTTTTCATTTTTACTAATTAACATAAAAAATCAATATTCCTAATTAATTAAATAAACAAAGGAAAAAAAAGATATCTTTACACTTAAACTAATAAATAATCGAGTAAAGATTTTAACTTAACTAAATTTTAATTTATAATAAACTAATTAAAAAATAAACAATTTAAGGGTATTTTCGTATTTTTAGTCAAATATTAACAAAAAATACTAACAAAACATGACAAAGAGTGAGAATGTGTCATTTTGAAATTTGACGGGTGGGAAAGTGTTGTTTTGCCAAACGTTGGGTGGGAAAAGGTCGTTCTCCCAAAATTTAACTCATATATTTGTCTCTCATATCCCTTTTTTTTAACATTAATAAAAAGCTTGTATTTACAAGTATTTGTAAATTAAATAAAGCAACAAATAAGGTTAGTTTTGTATCATGATTTAATAATAACAAATTAACCAAGTATATAAATTATTATTATACCCATTCTTTTGGTGAGTTCCTTTCATAATAAATTATTTTCCACGACCATCTAACTATAATCTACAATAGAAAAAATTATATCCAAAATACGTAAGTAGGTTTAATGATATTATAAAAAAAACAGTGTATAATAATATAAACTAAATGTATGGAAGATTTGTTTTAAATGCTGGTGGGTAGTTTTTTGGTACAACTTCTTGAATCTCAACCCTTTATTGAATGTTATGTATATATGTAACTGCAATATAATTTTTCATTTTTTAAGGAAATAAATGTACAGACAAATCAGCATCAGCATCAGCATCACCCATCTCATCAATTTATGTTATTTCTTGCAGTGATGTTGAAATAATAATCAATACACCAACTTTGGTAACGCCCACTTTATTATCATAATCAGAAAAAAGACAAAATCTTTGCTTGGCTGTGCAGGTGGGTGTTAGCGTGGGTTTAGGTGCGGCTGGTTTTGTAGGTCTTGGGTCTTTTTTTCTGATGGAGTTGAAGGAAGGAAAAGAGAAAGTGAGAGAAGAGAGGAAGGGAAAACATACTAAAAGAAAAAACAAACTATTCTATTAATTTAACTTCTATAAAATAATAACAAATTAACCAAGTATATAAATTATTATTATACCCATTCTTTTGGTGAGTTCCTTTCATTATAAATTATTTTCCACGACCAGCTAACTATAAACTACAATAGAAAAAAATTACATCCAAAATATGTAAGTGGGTTTAGTTATATTATCAAAAAACAGCTTATAATAATATAAACTAAGGGTCCGCTTGGGAGTTTCATGGTAGCGGTTATGAGGGTAAATCACTGTAGCAGTTTTGAGGGTAAACCATCGTAGCAGTTTTGAGAGGTTTTTAGTAGCGGTTTTTAAAACACCCAACCTGTGATTAGAAGTTTATTTTCTAGCAGTTCTAACAGTTTTTTAAAATGATACATTTACATATATGCCCATAAAAATACCCTAACTCTAACTAGTACTTTAGAGTTTTGTTTTTTCAATTATAAGGTAAGAATTCTTTATTTGTTTTCTACTTATTAGTATTTTATAATTGCAAATGTGGTAAAGTCCTCTTATCATTTTTTTGCCATTCTTTGCAACATCTGGAATGATTGAAAAATTTTAACTCTACTTCTCTAAGAAAGCATCTAGAAATGAGATTTTAATAATTTTTTTTTTTTAATGATTGCTTAAAATTGTTTTATATTTAATATGGTTAAAGACGTGCATAATATGGTTATTATTATTATTATTATTATTTTGGATGTAATTATGATAGTTTTATAGTATATAGGGTATTTGTGGAATAAAATTTTAAAACCAACTAAAACACCCCAATTTGGGGTGTTTTGTAAACCCCTCAAAAATACACTACACTGGTTCTTGGGGGTTTTTGAGCCAATAAAAATCAGTGCATAAAAAATCTAGCAAATAATGATTTAAAAACACCTCAAAACCAATAGAAAAAAAACTTCCAAGCATGCCCTAAAGGTCTAGAAGGTTTGTTTTAAATGGCGGTGGGTAGTTTTTTAGTACAACTTCTTGAATCTCAACTCTTTATTGAATGTATGTATATAACTATATATTTAAGTGCAATGTAATTTTTCCTTTTTTAAGGAAATAAATGTACAGTTTTGTCAAATTTCAATGTGCATCACTTTTCTAATTTTGTATATAAACTTAGTTTGACAAAGCTACAAAGGATTATTTAATTTATTTCCTGCAGTGATGTTGAAACAATAACCAATACACCGGCTCTGGTAATGCCCACTTTATTATCTTGTTTCCTTTTAAATTAATTTTATCTGCATTTCAAATTCCCCAATAGAAGTAATATCAATTGTAGTTATAGGAAAAGACTTCGGCATCATCTAGCTGGAGTCTTAAAATAATTTTCTTCATACGGCAACAACTGCTGCCAGGTGTAGTTGTACTTAATGGGTCTTTAATTTATAACTCATGACCCAGAAATATCAATATATGATATTTCCATGTCCATAAATGATAATACAACAATTTAATAATTTGCAAAGCTTTTAAATACATGCATATATTAAAAAGCTGCACTCTTAGATCGAAATGTTTTAGATTTTTATTCATATACGAGACTTTTAGGAGCATTCTTAGACTGTTAATTTTTGAAATAATTCTTGGTCAACATCTATTGTGAGATGAGTTTATATTTTATATATATGGGCACTAACCTTCAATGTTCATCGGCAAAAATAGCTAGAGCCTAAAGTGATGGGTTTGGTGATATTATCCAAAAATAGTGTATAATACTATAAACTAAAGGTTTTGAAGGTTTGTTTTAAATCGTGGTGGGTGGTAGTTTTTTGTTACAACTCGAATCTCAACTCTTTATTGGATGTATGTATATATTTGAGTGCAATATAATTTTTCCTTTTTCAAGGAATAAATGTACAGTTTTGATAAATTTCCATGTGCATCACCCATCTCGTCAATTTATGATATTTCAAGCAGTGATGTTGAAATAATAATCAATATTACACCAGCTTTGGTAATGCCCACTCTATTATCTTGTTTCCTTTTAAATTAATTTTATCTGCATTTCAAATTTCCTAATAGGAGAACTGTAATATCATTTGTAAAACGGGAATTTATCTTGCTGTTTCAATTCATGATATCAACTTATCAAGTAAAAATATTTAAGTGGGACCTATAATTATTCTCATATCCATCAAATCAAATCTTTAAGTTTGGAAAACGATGGGCAGTTGACGTTAGTAATAACTCTATGTTACCCAAATATATCACATCTTTGCTTAGCTGTGCAAGTGGGTGTTGGTGCTGCTGGTTTTGTAGGTCTTGGGTCTGCGTTTTCTGATGGAGTTGAAGGAAAGGGAAAGAGAAAGTGAAAAAATAATAAAAAGAAAAAACAAATTAATCTACTAATTTAACTTCTGTAAAGTGATTATAGAGTCTCACGTTTAGATAGTTGATGTCTTAATGATTTATTTATCTTTTTATTTTATTTATAAAATTTAAAATTCTAAACTTAAGTTACATTTATAAAATAAATATATTAGTTATATGAATCTTTTAGACTTTTTTTCTATCAGCACTAAACGTGACTTTTTTGTGCATTTTAAAACTCGTCTTTTTAAGAAAACATTGTCTCTGATTGATAATATCCCTCCAAATTACATAGAATTCATTTGTTGTTGTATTTAATTTAGGGTAGTAATTATTTGGAGCGATTTTCTTGATCTTATGGTTATATAATTGGTTGTTACTTATAGGAACAAAAGATGGAAGTAGTGATATTTTGGGATCCTTGCTTAATAAGGCAACCGAGTAGCTCAGAGGTAAAATTACATTTATGGTGGATGGATGATGTGCCAACAAATACTACTTTACATATAGATAAAATAACAAGGTAAAGGGATATTTTTGTTGTATTATATGCTAGTGGGTGTCTCCTTCTCATGCATGAAATTGGAAAATACACTCTTTTAATGCAAAACCTCTCTGTCTCTTCTACTGCTACTCTTTTAAGTTAACCACAAAACCTTTTGTATGCAAAGAAAGATCATCACAAAACCTCTGTCTGATTCTGAAACTAGTGGGGATTCATTAATTGAGGTATACCTCGGGGGTTGAGTAATATTCCCTCAGCAATTTTCTTCACTTGTTTCAGTAATAGTAGGTAGTTGGATGTCTAATTCTTAAGAATAAAAGCAGAAAGTATACAAGAGCAGAGCACGCCTGTGAAGAGTGTTTTTTGTATAATAAAGACTCACCTCACCTCACTCCATCTTCATCTTCTCTTCCTTCTCTTCTCATTAAAAAATTTAAACAACAACAGTACTCATCTCTCCCTCCTCTACATCTTCCCTTCTCCCTTCTAACTAATACCAACAAACAGAAGTATTTGTATTTTATTACATACACATCATTTTAATTAGTTTTGTAATACACTGCTTGAGAAGAGAGGGATATAGAAGAGGTAGCATCCAGAACTTCTTTTGTTTTTTGTTTTTTGTTTTTTTGGGTATTCCATGGGTTTATGTTGAGAAGTTACCTGATTTCATTGATACGGGAGTTAGAAAGGGAATTTGACTTGGTTTTAACTTAATCTATGAATTATTCGATGCTTTACTTATTTTAACTTGATGTATGAATTAGCTGTTTTGTCTAAGAAGATGGTAATGTTGTTTTTTGCATTCCTTTTCATGTTAAGTGAACAAAATGTAACCTTTACTATGCATGGTTTGTTAGGCATGGCTCCCAACAAGGTGTATTGCGCTGTTATTTTGTTGTTTTTCTTCTGTGGAGTGGCTTCGGTTTCCAATAGAAATCAGAAAGCAGAATTGGTTGTTAATGCTTCTGGAGGCAGACAGATTCCTGAAACATTCTTTGGAATATTCTTTGAGGTAGTTTATTGTTAACTTGCACTTGGAGTAATTTTGTTTTAATGTTAACTTTTTTTATATTTTTTTTTAATCCCATTCATGTTGGTAGACTTGCACATAAACTTACACGCTGCTACTAATTAATTTATTAAAGACATAAGGGAGAAAAAGTAAGGCAAGGTACTTAAAGAAACTAACTATCCATATTACTGTGTTTTTCTCCAGGAGATCAATCATGCCGGTGCTGGTGGATTGTGGGCAGAGCTTGTGAGCAACAGAGGTCATTCTTTATTCTTCTATCTATATATTTGATGTTTGGTAGCTAAGTTACATGCTGGATTGTCAGCGTGTACTTGTAACAGTGTATATAAACATCAGAGGTTGTTATTTGCTTTCTCTCTTTCAATTTCTTAATTCTCTGCTTTCTCTCTTTCAATTTCTTAATTCTCTGCTTTCTCTCGTTCAATTTCTTAATTCTCTGCTTTCTCTCTTTCAATTTCTTAGGTTTCTCTAAATTTCTCAGACATGTTGCATGAAATGTCTTTAAAAAGCCCATAATGTATCAAAGCATAAGCTACACAATTTTTTTTAGGGGTTTATATTTTACAATTTGTTTGGATATTTATATATATTAAGGTTTTTAATGAGATGTTTATTTAAGGTTTTGAAGCTGTAAGACAAAACAAATCCTTGAATATCCACCCTTGGTCTCTTATCGGGGATGAATCATCCATAATTGTTTCAACTGACCGATCATCATGCTTCAAGCGGAATAAGATTGCACTTCGAATGGAGGTGCTTTGTGATGGTGATACGTGTCCTGTTGGAGGAGTTGGTGTCTATAACCCAGGATTCTGGGGAATGGTAAGAAATAGTTTATCTTAATTACACAAAAAAGTAAATGAATTTGAATATGCTGTTTTAAATCTGAAATATTAATTATTTTATTCTCTTTCTTGTAGGACATTAAACAAGGGAAGATTTACAAAATTGTCTTTTACCTCCGCTCATTGACCTCAGTTAATATATCAGTATCTTTAACGAGCTCGGATGGATTGCGGACGCTGGCCATTACCAATCTCATGTGAGCATTATAATTAATTTGCTTAATTTTCTTCTGCAAAGATTTTTGTTTATTTATATTTTAGAGTTTAATTTGATTTCATTGCAGTGCTTCCGCTCGTGATGTCTCAAATTGGACAAAGATGGAAACTTTGCTGGAAGCTGAAGAAACAAATCCAAATGCAAGACTTCAACTGAAGACTTCAAAGAAGGGGGTAATGTGGATTGATCAGGTCTCTGCCATCCCCTTGGACACACACAAGGTAATTACAAAAGAAATTAAACAGCAATCTTCCTTAAAATTTCAGTGCTCCTGGTTTCTCTTTTTTTTTTAAATAGCTTGATTGGGCTAGGATGGAGTTAACTATGTTTCAAAATGAACTTCTAATTTGTCTTTTGAAGCTGAATGATAAATGTAAACTTTGCATGTAGGGGTTTTGCATTTGTTTGAACATAATTTTTTCAATGCATTTCTTCTTATTACTTATAACTAGTAATTACCTTCCACTGTATCTAAGACTTTCTGTATCCTGTCGCAGGGCATGGCTTTAGAAATGATCTTTATGAAATGATTGCAAATATCAAACCTCGATTCCTAAGATTTCCAGGTATATATAGATTTATTGGTGTAGACGCCCTTTGCGCAAGTGAAGTTGTTTCATGTTAAAATATCAGATTAGAAAACCTTGTCTTTCATTTTGGCGTTTGCGATGAATGTGTGTTTTTATATTAATATTTTGAGTTGCCAAAAAATGTATTTTAATTCAACTTGTTTTCTATTAATGCCTTTATGCTATCTATTTTATATAAGTTGTTATCTATTAATGCCTTTATTTAAACAAATAGTTTATTTACTCATTCGTCTTTGTGTGGGTTCATAACTTTTCTTCCAAATGGTTTTCTTAAACCAAAGTTTAGAGGTTCTTGTAATGGATAAAAGGTGGGATATCATTGTCTCATTTGTAAGAGTTCCTTGTAAATAAAAATTGTTTGCATTACACTTCATTCATTTCGTTATACTGAATGCTTTACATACATGTGTACATGTGTTATTAAAATTGATCTTTAATGTTGTAAGATACAATTTAAATTCATAATTTGTCATTTAATAAAACAAATGCTGATAACTTGAAACAAACGCAAACGAAAGTGAAGGAGTACTATCTTGTAGTTAGATTTATCTTTTCTAGTTTCTATTGTGTGAAAAAGGCATAGGTTGGCTGGGTTGTTACGTGAAATAGAATTTCAACTCTTGAGACAGATTTAATCCTTAATATTTTTAAGGATGGACATTTTTAACGTTCTGATCTGATTCTATGCTTGAGGATATAATGTTTCAAAAGTTTTTAATATGTTGTTTCATTATATACTAAATTAGCTTTGGCTTGAATCTTGTCCAAGCAAGCAAATATAAAAATTTCTATAGTTCACTGCATATTTCCTTTAACTGGCTTTATCGAATGCATGTTCCTTACCTATCTTAATCTCTTTATTTGTGTTCAGCAACTGTAGTTATATTCATGCCCAGAAATTCAAATATGATAATGCCTATTTTCTTATTATGTTACATCAGGTGGCAATTTTGTTGGAGGAGATCTTTAAGAAATGCCTTTCGCTGGAAAGACACCGTTGGACTTGGGGGAGAGACCTGGGCATTTATGATGCATGGAACTATGGACGGATGATGGACTTGGCTATTTTGAGTTTCGGTAAGTATTTGTGTCTTATCTGGAGGAGAAATTTTATTTTTGTTCTTAGTACTTCAAGAATTTCACATACTCTTTAAGTAGATAATAAAGTAAAAGTTAATTCTTGTTTCTGCAGCTATCTGAAGATCTTGGGTGCATTGCCGATATGGGTGTTTAAATGGTAATTAGGATATACTTGTTTTTTCCTCCAAGTGGCCTATGTGGTTGATTATTTTTTCACTTATAATTTATAAAATTTTGCAGGAATGAGCAATTTGGGTCAAGAAAAAGCCTCCAATGTTCACTTTTTGTGCAAGTATGTTTTCATATTGTTGCCTTGATGTTTGTATGATCATTGGTCTAATCAAATATACTTTCGTTTAAAAGACAAATGCAATTGCAGTTGATGTGATCACATAGTCTCTACTTCTTTTTGTTAATATCAGATGACAAACAAGTAATAACAAATTGTTGTGTTTGTTGACTCTATATTTAATAGTGCCAGTTTTTATTTTTAATAGAGATAAAACCAAATGGACTTCCATGTATCATGTGAGTTAGTGCCAATTTTTTTTCTGGGGTTTTGTGATGTGATATTCATTGAAAAGAACTATGGATGTTTGGATGTTATCAATTATATATCTTTGGGGATTTCTGATCTTACATTCATTAAAAGAATTATTGATATGGATCTTATCAACTTTATTGATTTATAGTTGCTTCATTTATCCGTGATTGAAAGCTTTTCTTTGTGGTTTCCCCCATAAGGAAGGGGGGCTTTGGTAACAGTATTGATATTAAGTTGCTTCATTTTTCAAGTTTAAATGTAGAATTAAGGGTCTCAATTGTGACTTAAATATTGCATATGCCATTTACAATATTTAAGAACTGGACATAAGCCCACAAAACATATGAAATAATAAAGAGGCTTTTGTTTTTTTTTTTTTTTTTTTTTTTAATAGTATAAATACTATTAATATATTTTCTCTTTAATTCAACTTGATATGGTAATTGATATGGTAGCATCTCTCTTATGATATAAATTACTTTTTTGTTTTTCCTATTGTTAAGCTAAACTTAACCTTGTAAATTTTTTCCAAAGCTGATATTTTTTTATTGAAAGGATATATATATTAATGTATATTGTTTGTTTTAATTACAGGAAGCCCTTGATGGATTGAGTTGCTATAGGTGACCAAGCTCTAAATGGGGGTCTGTACGAGCTGCAATGAGACACCCTAAACCTTTTGACTAAGATATGTTGCGGTTGGAAATGAAGAGCTTCTCTTTTGAAAAAGCTGCTTATAAGGTTTGCATATTGTTCTAACTCATTCTTTTGTTTTCGTTTATTATACTCTTTTGAGTCACTTAATTTAGTTAATTAAATGACTAGAAAGGGCATCATGAAATGGTAACTGAATTAAACTTTTAGTATATAAAAGAGCTTTTGTCTATGATTGAATATTATAGCTATCTATTG